GCTTTGGCCAAGGCTGCTCATTGAAAATGGGGCCACAGGTCAAGAGAAAAACAAAAGGAGGTGATTTTAACCAGGGGTTCCAAAGACTCAGTGTTTTAATACAACTCTCAGGTCTTTCACTACCACCCCACAAAAAATGCAAACTGAAGAGAAGCCAGTCCACACCCATCCATTATGACTTCTTCCAGATTGCCTGAGAGACTCAGTCCCACTAGTCGTTCTGCACATTTGGTTTGAACTCCTCCTGGGAGCCAGGTCTGAGGTGGGGTATCGGTCAGTCGACTGGCTTCCCAGAACTCCCGACCTGTGCAGGGGAACAGTGGTAATCAGACAATAACACCCTCTAATGCAGTAATGCTGCGACCCTTTCATACAGTTCCTCATGTTGTGGTGACCCCCCCCCCAACCGTAAAATTATTTTCGTTGCTACTTCATCACTGTCATTTTGCTACTGTTATGAATCGGGCGACCCCTGTGAAAGGGTTGTTTGACTCCCAAAGGGGTCACGACCCACAGGTTGAGAACCGTTGATCTAATAAGTGCCACATAAAAGGTGGCCTCAGGGCCAACAGCAACTCCTGCCCACAGATGTCTTGACTGGAGGGCAGCGGTTCAGTGAGGCTGAACCCTATACCTAAGGATGGGGGTGGACCCAGGATGCTGAGCCTGGATCCCACGGGTAGGGTGGAAAGGCAGGCTCAGGTGGAAGAGGACATTCGTTCCAGTGAGCGGAGGAGGCCAGGCTGAGTGACGGGAATGGAGCAGAGGGGCAGGGGGGAGTGGGGGGGAGACCCTGCGCGCTGCATTCCCTCCCTGCTTTCTGCCTACAGTGAGGCTTCTAGTGCTTCTGCAGGAAGACACAACCCCATCTGGCCCGGGCTCTTCCCTGAGCAAGATCGCTGTCTGGTGCTGTGCCCCCCTTCTCTCCTTGTCTGAAGCCTGCCCTCCTTGTCCACTTTCTCCCTGGGGGTAGCTTTGAGTCACCACCCCCAAGTCTGTTGGCCTTAGCCCTGGTCATGAGGTCTTGGGGAACAAGGGGAGGGGGGTGTCTGAGGAAGGGGTGCTTGGTTGGAACAGTGCCCTGGGCCAAGTGAGCTGCGTGCAGTTGAGATGGGTGAGGGAGGGCTCGGACTGATAAAGTGGGCCGGAGGGCAGAGTGGAGATAGGCCAGGATCTAGCGTCCTCTTTGGGCAGGGAAAGGGGCCGGTTCAGGAAGGGGAGTGTTAAAAATGGCAAGGGGTGAAGCCCCTCCAGAATACCTCTTTCAAGCAAACAATAGACAGACCTATAAAATGTACCGTAAACCCCAGAAGGAGCATGCTCCTCAGAGCAATCCACCAGAGGAGACCAAAGGGGCAGCATTTATCCAAACACAGGGTTCAAAAGGCAGACAGGATGGACAGATGGGGACGGGCCCTGGGGCGGGGGTGCAGGGGAGTGGGAAACATGTTACTACACTAAGGCGATGAAACCACATGCATGTAAGCCATTGAAGGGGAAACTAAGTCCCCCTGTACACTTTCACCCAAACCACAACACCGCCCCGACAAAACCTGGCCAGAGGTCAGACAGCAGAGGCAGTAAGAGGAGGGGTGTCTAGACTGAGTGCTATAAAGACCTAACTGGAGGTCAGTTTCTCACCTGAGATGGGAGAACGAACTAACTGATATTGGGTTGATTTCAACTTATAGCAACACTATATAGGGCAGCAGTTCTCAAACTGTGAGTAGCAATCCCTTTGGGGGTCGAACGGCCCTTTCACAGGGGTCGCCTGATTCATAACAGTAGCAAAATGACAGTGGTGAAGTAGCAATGAAAATAATTTTATGGTTTGGGGGTCATCCCCACATGAGGAACTGTATGAAAGGGTCGAGGCGTGAGGAAGGTTGAGAACCACTGATAGAGGGTTTCTGAGACTGTAAATCCCTGCAAGAGCAGACAGCCTCATCTTTCTCCCGATGGGAGAGGGCTCCCCAAAGATCCTTCTGACCCCTCATGCTGTGGACAGTACCTGGACTAGGAGGCAAACCAATTGTTGATTGGACTCATGGTGAACCCGTGGGTGTTAGCATACGTTAGCAGTCGAGCCCCAGCCAGGGACTCCAGCTGACATGGTGGTAGCCCAGTAAGTGTGTGGAAGCTTCAGCATCCTCGTGGGCCAGGCTGGCTGCCCTTGGGACCATGCTTGTACACCCAACACCCAGCACTGAGCTGCAGGCTCTGTCAGGCGCCCCCGTGTTTGTCCCATTCTGGGCTCTGGACCGGGCTATGGCCTCAGTTTCCCCTGGCAACCCTTCAGGACGCGACTCTAGGGTGCCCCCTCATGACAAATCCCAGACTTGCTTTCTTGCTTCCATAGCAACCTCAGTTCCCCAAACATCCCCTTGGCCCCCACCAAGAGCCCAAGGTGCCTCCATTACTTCCAGTTTTGAGCAGAGAATCAGGACCCCTGGGTTTCCTTCCGGAATCCCCCACTGCGTAAGAACGGGAGGGCATACATTCTCCCCGCTTCTGTAGATAATGAGGATAATTACAGCAACAATCATGGTGATGAATAAATAATAAACAGAAGCATAACAGCTCTGATGCCTGTCACATCACTGGGAAATTCCTGATGACAAATGACTGTATTCTAATGGAGTTGGCTATTAGAGAGCACACTGTTTTAATGAGTTAAGGCTAAATTAATCTGGGTAATAAAAATAATTGCTATTAGTAGTAATTTATTAGCAGAGATAATGAAATGCATGTGTACTAATAAATACTACCATGATTAGGGCCCAGGGAACAATACCAAAATGGGCTGCTTGCTTGAAGCTCATTCCTAGCAACTCCAAGCTCCAGCAAGTTTTTATTTTGTTTTTCCTTCATCATCAAAGGCTTTCACAAAAGTGGTGGTGCTGAGGTAGGGTGTCCTCTTCCATTTGCCAGCTAGAGAAACTGAGCTCATTAATACATAGTCTTTTCCTCTCACATTACACACCCCACCCTTGCTTAGCTGGACCAGCATTTTCCCAGCTCACTGACCAAACAGATCCTTCCCAGCCTGGGGAAGAAGAGGTTGAAGGAAGAGTCAGGGACCAGACAGGTTTGGCCTTTAAATGACAAGCTGCATGCAAATATGTTGGGGTTTCTTCCCAGTAGCTTGGCTGCTGAGTTGGCAGGGAGGCTGGGCCCCTCCTTTCATCTGGCCTGGTATAGCCCTGGGGGGAGCTGTCCTCAGGAAAGGGGCCTTTGAGGCAAGCGCAAAAAGGATCCAGTTCAATGCTTGCTTTCTCCACAAGAAACCCATCGATGGCACCTCCCTTCCACTCTCCACTCAGGATCTCCTAGGGCAGTCCCAGATCCTAAGACTCAGGCCTTGAGTGGGTGGGTCAGCTGTGAGAGAGGACTGCTGGGAAGGAATTCACCCCTCAACAACGCACATCCTGACTCCGTATCTTAGATTAGAGTCGGGACTCCCAAATGCTAGTGCTCACAGCCTCATTGTCTGTCCCCACACACCCCACCTCACCCCACCCCTCCAGGACCAGGACCAGCAAGAGTATCACATGAGCTCACAGAGGGCTTTCCTGCATTCCCTTCCGCTCACCCACTTCCTTGCCCCACCTCGGGTGAGACAGGAGGAGCTGGGAATGCACTGCGGATGAGCATGAGATAATAGTCCAGGGTGGAGCCCCGGAAGTACTGGGATTAAGCCCGTGGCTGCTCATTGAAAGGTTAATGCTTCGAACCCACCAGCCGCTGCTCCGTGGGAGAAAGCTGCCCCAGTCTGCTTTCATAGAAAGCCTCCGCTGGACTCTGCCCTGCAGGCTGACTGTGAGGCCGAAGCTACCCGACGAGACGGCGGGAGCGTGTGTCCTATTGTGGGGGGTCTGTGCTTTGGCTCCTGGGAGGCCCACCTGCAGGCCTCATCTGAACCTGGGGAGGGGAAAGAGGAATGATGGGACCCTCGCTCACTGCCCTGGGGGGCTGGGAGGGACTCTGCAAAGGTGGTTGCTCACAGTGTGGCATTGCCTCCCCCTTGCCACTCCCCCTCAAAGGGGACCCTTAGTCCTTGTGTCCATCCATTGGCAGAGAGGGGGCCAGTGGGGAACAGAGAGGAAAGACTGCTGACGGAGGGCCTGGTTGCCCATTCCCTGAGGGGGTCCTAAGAATCCCTCTCTGCCAGGAGGGTAGGTCCCGCTGGTTAGGAGCTCCTAGAGGTCAGAGGGCAAGGCTTCGAGGACTTGAGGAAGATTCCAGGTGGACTCCAAATCCAGGGCCTCCCCTTTGACCCCTCCCCAATCCCCATCGTGATGATTGGCAACGATTGAGGGATGGGTGGAGGAAGAACAACGGGGTGACTGGATCTTAGGGCCTCTGATCCATTTTCTGGTCACCTCACCTCTGACAGCCCCCTCCCCTACCTGGCTTTCTTCCCCTCCTCCCACACCTCACTCCTGCCCCCGCCCCCTCTCTCCCACCCACAGGTACGGGCCAGCGCCATCGCCCAGGATGCGGACCAGAATTACGACTATGCCAGCAACAGCGTGATACTGCACCTGGACGCGGGCGACGAGGTCTTCATCAAGCTGGACGGGGGCAAGGCACACGGCGGCAACAGCAACAAATACAGCACGTTCTCCGGCTTCATCATCTACTCCGACTGAGCTCCCCACGGCCCCGCCGGAGCTGCGTGCCAGCTGGGGGCCAGAGGATGACCCCTTCCTCCCCCACTCTCGCTGCCTGGCCTCTCCGCTGCGGGCTGTCCCTGGCGCTACCACCCTGGCCCATGTCACCACCAACATCCTTGAAGCAGAGTCTGGCCTGGCGCACCCCACCTGGTCCCCGGGGTGGTGTTGACGCCCCCCTCCTGCCTGTGCTGTATATTTGTACAATAGGACTATTCACTGGCCATCTCTGCCCCACCCACCTGCCCTCATTGGGGGGCGAAGTCATGGCAGCAGGTTGCTTCCCACGCTCAGATGTGCTGACCTCCTAGCTCAGGGGTAGCGTCACCTGGGGAGAGGTGGTTTGGGGGCTGGAGAGCTTGCCAGCACCCCCTAAAGCCCCTTCCCAGCTCCGTTGTGCCCCTTCTGACCAAAGCTATAATAAAAACATTTCCACCCTGTTGAGTCTGTGCCCTGGGAGGGTTATCCGAGGCAGGGGCAGGCTGTGGAGCCCACCCTTGTCGTGGGGAAAGGGTGGCTTTGCAAGCAAGGGCAGAAAGGAGAACAGAGAAGCAGGCCTCTGCTTGGGCCTAAGGTAGGACCACCCTGGGGTGGGCTTGGTAATCAAAACAGACCAGGAACAAGACCTGAGGCTAGTGGATCCTCTTGTCCTGTTCTGCTGGCCCCTGACCCTCTCCATTCCTAGCGGGCCCCACATCACCCCTCCCACCCTACTCCACAACCTTCTGAACCAAGTTTGTGATGCATTCGCTCAGAACCCAAGAGACTGGAAGCTGGTAGGAATGCCCAGATCACTAAAGCCCCCACCAGGTGAGACCCAGACAGACCGTGGATATCGCCCCAAGGGCCCCTCTGACACCATTTCCAGGCTTGGCTGACTCCCGGCTCACCTGCTCCACACACGTTACCGGGACTAGAAGGAAGGTGGGACTAGAAGGAAGGTGGTCTATTGGCCTCCGCAGTCCGCTCCAGACCTCCATGGCTGCGGGTGCAACAGTGCCCACCAAAAGGCCAGGTCTGGACTGGAAAAGGGGAGCAGAGTCCAGAGAAAGGAGGCGGTGTCTAGAGGAGTTGAGGAACAGGACAGGGAACTGGGCTGCCCCGGAGCCCAGTTCTCTCCAGGATGCACATTTGTCCCTGGAAGAAAAGCCATCCTCCATTCAGAAGGCAGTAGGAGAGCGCAGGGTAGCAAAAGGAGCCGAAAGGTGGAGATGACTTACCTGAGGTGGGGTACCCAGACTAGGGGTGGGGGTGATCATCAAAAAGCCCAGCTAAGCCCCAGATGTCGAAGGATGTCTGTTGCTTTTGAAAGGGATCAATAATAGTTGGCTCTAAATTCCCTTCCATATTCAGTTTGTTCAGAGGAACGTTAAAGTGCATTTGCAATCCCTGAACTCTCTGACAGCAAGAGGTTACACCTTCAGATAGAAGAATTTGCCCAGCAGTGGGGGGGGGGGGCGCGCGATAATTCACTGGCTGTGTCTGAAATGGAGGAGGAAGCGTGGCATTCAGAAGCTGGCTGAGACCCATTCTTTGAAACCCTGACTGTCCCCCTCGCCCCCATGGACCTTGGTGCTCCGGTGCTCTAGCTGCTCCATTGCTCAGATGGAGAACTGAGGCCCGCAGTGGAGCTGTGATTTGCCCAAGGTCTCATAGCATGCCTCCTCCCTCCTGAGCTGAGGTCTAATTCAGCGGTTCTCAACCTGTGGGTCGAGACCCCTTGGGGGTCAAATGACCTTTTCACAGGGGCTGCCCGATTCATAACAGTACCAAACGACAGTGATGAAGTAGCAAGGAAAGTAGTTTTATGGTTGGGGGTCCCCACCACACGAGGGACTGTATGAAAGGGTCGCCGCATGAGGAAGGTTGAGAACCACTGGGTTAATGGAAGCTTTCAAGGATCTGGGGGAAGCCAGGGGCCGGAGAGAGAGCTGCTTCAGGAGGATGTGGGTCAAGGGGCCTGCGTTTCCTTTCCAGACAAATCGCCCCAGTCTAAAAGTCAGACCCAAACTCCTCGCCATGGAGACCAGGCGGCTCAGAGCAGCCCTTGGGGCAGGGTAGAACTGCCCTGGGAGTCGTTTCCCCAGCAGTTTTTTGGGCATCGAATTCACAAAATCATACCCCTCCATAGCTCGGTCACATCAAGAATTGTGCAATCATCGCCACAATCAGCTTTAGAACATTCTCTTCATTCTCATACTCCTGGTTAATAGTTCTCCATTTCCCCTCAACCTCCCCGACCACCCCCCCACGCCCCCAGGAACCATGAATCCAGTTACTGACTCTATAGGTTTATTCTATCCTGGATTGCATGCACTGAAAAATAAATATGTTTTAAAACACCAGCTAACAATATAACGCAGTAAAACAGATAAAAAAAAACGCCATAGAAAAGAAAGCAGAAAATATTTAAAACAAGAACAAATTTAAATGGATCATAAAGGAGATCACATGATGGGGCGCTAAATTTTAACCTGACTGCATCTGCAACAATCCACTTTGCAGTGTGTTCTGTGGGCTGCCAAGGCTCTTCACGTGCCTGGTTAATTGCACAGGGGCTTCACCAGGGGCTTAAGCTACATGTAGTTCCCTTTCCTCTTCTTTTTTTTACTGAAACAGCTGTAAAATGGGTCAAGAGGGATATCAAATGACTGACTATGTTAGGTCAAGTCGACTTTATGATGCTCTCTGTCCGATAGATAACAGAGCTGTTCACATTCCTCACCTGTGATGAGAGGCTTAATCCATGTGTGGCTCCTGCAAATGGAATTGGGGTTTCCACCGTCAACCATGGCCTCTATAAACCAGGTGTTCACAATTTAAGCTCTGATAACATTCCTTCCTTTAGGTTTGGATGGTATTATTTACAATCCTTGGGTCACACAGACTGATGAACATCTTCCATGTGGACTTCAGTTTTAGAACATTCTGGGTGACGCCCAGAAACTCTTTACTGGAGTAGAAAGTCTTTTTCCCACAGAGCCGCTGGTGGTTTCGAACTGTTGACCTTGCAGTTAGCAGCCCAACAGGGAACCACTATGTCACCAGGGCTCCTTTGGGAGTATTAAACCATGGAGATGTACTGTCACAATACTGGAGGCAACAGCAAATGCCCCCTGGCCTTTTCCTAGCTTCGAGAGTTCATTCCTTGGTATTCCCTGTTGGTCTGGTTTGCCTTCGCGTGACTGTTCTTCCTCAGTGTCTCTTCTCCCCGTTTCATAAGGGCGTTAGTCCTACTGGATTAGGGTCGGCCCAGTGTGCTCTCAATTTGATTTCATGGATAACATCTTCAAAGACCCTATTTCCAAACAAAGTCAACGTCTCAGGTGTCGGGGTTAGGACGTCAAGCTATCTTTGTAGGGACGCAATGTAACCAGTATTAGGACCCAAGGCCCAGCCTAGACCAAAGTGGTCTTGGGTACGTGGAGTGGAAAGCAGCCCCGTTCTCTCATTTTCCAGAGTGGAACATTTCCATTTTTACATCTGACAGTGACTTCAGCATTCCAAAGGTATGGCATGCATTAAAGCAGGAAACCCAGACTCTTATTCGTGTGTGTGTGTGTGTGTGATGATCTTGGGGTGGCCAGTTCTTCCAGGTTAGTGGTGCCAATGAAAGGAACACGCTGTGTACTCAGCCGGGTTGCCCTTGGCCCAGCACCTCACCTCTCTGGGCCCCAGAGTTCTCATCCAGATGAGGGAAGTTAACCTGACTGATCTCCCTTGACTGGAAATGGCAGTGATGCCGTGGCTGTGCTGAGCAGCCCTGGGGGGTCACGGGGAGTATTCGGGTGCTGACCAAAAGGTTGGCGGTTGGTACTTAGCCCCCAGCCCCGCGGAGTAAAGACCTGGCAGTCCGTTTTCATAATGATTCTAACCTAGGAAACCCTGTGGGGCAGTTCTAGTCTGTCCCACGGGGTCATACGAGTCAAAATCTACATGCGTGCTTCCTACGTAGAGCATTCATTGTTTCTAAATCATTTTCAAGTTTGCAAAGGGCCTACAGGTGCGTCATCCCTCACGTTGCTCAGCAACCCTGGGCCGCTGGATGGGCCAACGTTAGGCTTCCTCTAACAAACCAACCAGTTGCCATTGGCACGTGGCAACCCCATGTGTGTCAGAGGAGAAGTGTGGCTTGTAGGGTTTCCAGTGGTGTTTCAGAAGTAGAGTGTAAGGCCCTCGTGCAAGGTACCTCAGGGGGGACGAGACACGCCAACGTTCGCACCACCCAGATTCCCGTCTTCTGCTCCCAATCTCGCTGTCACTGAGCTGATTCCAACCTATAGGGACCCTGTAAGACCTACAAGACAGAATAGAACCACCCCTGTGAGGAGTTCCCCAGATGGCAAGTCTTCACAGAAGTACCGGGCTCCCCCTCCTTCTAGGGACGTGAAAACGTTGCTTGATATGGCACCGCTGCTCAATTCTGTAGTCAACATTCAAATCCAAGAAGCCCTTCTCTTTAGTGATAACCTGCTGAGTTTTCTTGGCCTGCCACTGCTCCCTTACCTCCTGTAACCGGGGTCATGACAGTCACAGGCTGTCATAACACTGTCATCATAGCAGCTAATATTTAGAAAGCAGCCACTCTGAGTCTGAAACCATGTAAGACTTTTCTAAATAGGTCTCCAGGGAGCGCAGGTGGCAGGGAATGTTCTCCTGCCCTCTGATCCGGAGGCTGGGACTCCGTTCATTTGAGATGTGAAACCTGAGACTCAGAAATGGTAAGGAACTTGCCAAGATCACAGAGGGAGGAAGAGAGCTGCGCCCAGCCCGTGATCGCACAGTTCATAAAGACGGGGCATCTCGGAGCAGACGAAGGCAGGCCAGCTTTGGGGCATCTCAGCCCCCTTCACCGGCTGAGCCAAGCATCTGCCCGGGGCTGCAGCCATGGGGTGAGCCTCTTGGTGGCTCCCAGGGCTCTCCCTTGAGGGAAGGTTCCATTTGGCCTCCCCTCCCCAGTCTGGCTCAGCTAGAGAGACAGGAAGGAGGGGCGGCCTCCCTCCCGGCCAGGCCCGGCCCCATGTATAGACCCCTTGTCATGGCTGGCAGACGTGAATGACTTCCTTTATCTTCTTTTCTATCCCCCCGCTGCCCCCCCTCCATTGCCAGCTGTGGCCATTTAATAAAATTAGCTTAATGCTTGTTCCTTCCCTGTGGGGTCTGAAGATTGAAATCTGCGGGTCCCCACAAACCCAATAAAACCCCTGGCAGGTCTGGCTGGAACTAGAGTCTTGGTGGCAAGAGCGATTAGATTAGAAGGCACTCCACCCCTCTGCCCCTCTCTGCTCCCCAGCGCCCCCACACCGCCTCCTGTGACTCTCCGTGGCCACAGGGGTCTGCCATTGCCCTGCCACCACACCTGGACGCTCCTCGTGCCCTCCCCAGAGACCGGGGCCCTGGTCCAGGACCTAGTTCAGGTGCAACAGAAAAAGCATGATCATTGT